TTAGCTTTTAAGAATTTTAGCAGTAAAACATAAATTCCTTTATAAGACAAATCTCTGCTTTTACTTTTCCAAAACTATAAAGCATAAACAAAATCTCTTAGTATTTGCCTCTTAAGATAATAATAGCCATCATCCCAGCATTTTATACTAGACACTAAATTCTGCCAAACACCAAGTGATTTTAAACTGTACCATTTTGATAGCTATGATTACAAATCTAGTATATGTGATGTGATGTGATATGCAGGAAAACATTTTAAATTCTTATAAACAGTGAGAATACTCTGTAAGTACTGTGTTTTTCTAATCTGAGGGTTTAGCCTGTCCATGTTCTGTAAACTATTGGTAGAACAACTCAATCTTCATCTCATATCTTACTATATTCATTTATATATGTGTTATGATGGACACACACCCACCCTTCTGATGTTTTTCTTTTTGTGTTTTTTTTTTATTTTATTTTTTAAAGATTTTTATTTATTTATTTGGCAGACAGAGATCACAAGTAGGCAGAGAGGCAGGCAGAGAGAGAGAGGAAGGGAAGCAGGCTCCCCGCTGAGCAGAGAGCCCAATGTGGGGCTAAATCCTAGGACCCTGGGATCATGACCTGAGCCGAAGGCAGAGGCTTTAACCCACTGAGCCACCCAGGTGCCCCCCTTCTGATGTTTTTTAAAGAGGGCAAAACAGTGCTGGATCACACAATTGTCTATGGAAAAAAGCTTTGTTTAAAAAAATAATAATAAAGAATAAAGGCAGGAAAGCTACCAGATATCTCATGCAATCCTTGATGCAGCTTAAAATTCCCATGTTATAAGAACTGTTTTTTTCTGTGAGTAGCCAAAAGTTAAGAAGGAAAACTAGGAATGAACAAAGGGGAAGCAGGGTGCCAACTTAGCACATTTGGTGAGGGAGAAAATGCTAAAGGGCATGAACTTCTTCCACACTTTACCACATCAAGACAAGGTGCTCTGCGGTGTTAAGGGTTATGGTAGGGACTCAGGTTGGACCAAGAACTGGTGAATCATCGTCTCTGCTCCAGAGGAGTTTTCGGGGGCCTCTGAGGGAAGCAGTGGGGGGTCAGGGAATGGAAAATGAGGAAGTAAACAAAAGGGAAGAGGCTGGATTCCTCAGATTTGTCCTAAACTCTTCTGTGAAGTTGATAATTCACCAACTGTGCCGTTATAAAATAAAACTGTGCCATGTTTTATACTAAGTATGCTATATACTAAGTATATATAGTATGTAATATAAACTATACATACTATAATATAAATAAAAAATATTAATTTCCCTTTAATGTTTCAGGATGTATTTATTACTTTTTGGAACTTCCTATATTTTAGAAGGGATTTCCATTCCTTTAAATTTGAATTATGAACTGGCATTTGTGCCTTCCTACATTGGCGGGTCTCCTGCATTGAGGCAGTTTTGGGGTGTGGGGTGAGGATCCCTCTTTCTCAGACAGCCACCGGGCAGCTACAGCATGAGAGGCTGCGTCGCCGATGGCAGCCACTGCTCCACACGCTGGGGCATCCATGGCTCCTCGAGCCACTTGTCATATAAAACCCTTTATTCTCTAACCCCCTTGTTAGCATTCAGCTGTTTTTTCTGGATGAATGCATCACCATTTAGTTACAAACTGTTGTTCCCAGGGGAAGAGTGGCTCAGTGTCTCCACACAATGTCATCTCCTGTCTTTGCCACCTGCCTCCTCTCCTCGTGGTACCGGCCTTTTCCCATCAGCAGACAACCCTGGCCTCGTGCTTCCTGGGTGCTCGGAAGTGAGAAGCCACCCACATGGGGTGCAGGGATTAGATCGTGCTGCGAAGGTTAGGAATCCAGTTCCACCTGTTCTCCCCTCCGGATAACTCGGGGTTAGGAAAATGGGCGTTGACAACAGGACATTGTGAGATGAGACCTCTTATGTAAAGGCTCTTAGAATAATCTTGGGCACATAATAAATGATGAGGAGTTTAAGGAGTTATTTTTATTTGCTGTGGCATGGCGGAAGGAATCTGTGCTTCAAAAGGCAAATTTTTCTTCTGTTACCCCTTCTCCTTCCCACCTGGCCATCTCAGATTCGTGCGCAGCTGATCACAGGGTGGGAAGGTGGATGTGAGGGCGGGGACAGGCTCTCTGGATCATTGCTGATGATGTGATGGGAAGTAGAGCCAGAAGAGGCTAAGGGGAGGAGATAAGGGGAGGAGACGGGTTCTTCCAAGGAGTGGGGGCAGCATGCGCGACACTGATGGTGCCAGGAGAGCCAAGTTCAGGAAAGCGCCACTCACCACAGCCGTCTGCGGGGCTGGAGAGGAGACTGCCAGGTGGGCCCTCAGCGGCTGATGCTGTGGGTCACAGAGAGCAGGACGTCCATGCCAAGGGGGCTGGAGTTTATCCCAGGAAAACAGAGGCACTCAAAGAATGGTCAAAGTATGAGTGTCAGAGCTATGTCAGTGACTGGTTTTGTGGGTCAAGACTTAGAAGGCCATCCGTAACCAGTGAGGACACCCTCGTGACAACTTCCTGCCCCCTCAAAACCGCTTATCTTCTATCAACTGGGAAACAGATAAACGAGCTTTGATTCTGAAATATGAATTTCTAGATTGAGAGAGGGAACGAAAGGTTTTTTAAGTTTGCTGATAGGAATTGTGTTTTGTTTGATACATTCCTGGTTTCTGTCTTTGTTCTATTTAAATGAGCTGTCAGGTAATTTAGGATCTCAGTCTTAATATTAATGGAGCCCTACAAAAATATGACTGTGGGATTAGGGAAGTAAGTTGGTATTTTAGTAACCTGTCTCAAAAATTCCTAAAAGTCTACATCCTCTTTGGTTAGCACTTACTACTGTTTCATGAACTTGGTTGTTTTGATTGGGCCGAATTGGACAATTCTTCCACTTCTTTAGACATTCAGGCAGTATTTGAATATTAATCGTACCCCAGCCATTGTTCCAAACATGAGCCTGGAGAAGTTTGTAAGGCTTGGTTTGTGACTTCCAGTCCCAGCATAGCGAACATGGACCTGCCTTTCTTGTGGCATCCATCCCATATCCCTCTAGCAGCATTAAGGTCTGCTGGAAAACAAAACAAAACACCAGTGCAACAGTTGAAAGACATGGGGGAAACAAACAGACACGCAGCAGGAGAAGATGCCCTATGTAGCATCCCTACTGCACTAGCCCTTACTTTCCGATTTGAAGCCATTAGAGCTGTGATTTTTTTTTTTTTTAACCAAGTGTAATTTTTAGCTCCCCCCCCCCATCCTCCCAGGGACATTTGACCATGTCTGAAGCCATTTTTTGATCATCTTAACTCTGGATGGGGGTGCTTGTGGTGGTGGTGGTGCCATCAGCATAGAGAATGTTCTAGAATCCTGCTTACTACCCTGTAATGTCCTACAGAGCTCCCTCCCTGTCCCCTGCCATCCACAGCAAAGACTATCCAGTCTAAAATGTCAGTAGTACCAGGGTTGAGAAGACTTAACACTAGATATGTTTTCTCTGCAGGTGACTTTTGAAAATGTAAGCAGCTGGTTGGGGAAGAAGATAGCACTCAGGCAGCTCTGGGGATGCCGGGTGGGGCAGACTGTAGCTGGCATTCTGCCGGCTCCTATTAAGTAGTCTTTCATCCTGAGGGCATTAAAAAGGTTGATTGCCAAGTCCGGTGGGTGCTTGACCCACAGACATCTTAGAAATCCTATGTGTCTGGCTTTCTTAGTAGGTCAAATCCTACTCAGAAAGGCTTTAAAGGTTTTATTTTATTCTAAAAATCATATTTCTTTCTTCAGATTAGGCCAATTGCTCACCCAAACTCATTAACTTAATTGGTTTTAATGGAAGTATTCTGGCCCCCATGAATTTAAAATTGTATAGCGGCCCAGCAAGGACGTGACAGGATCCTTTTTCCTCAGTTTCCCTTCTGTGTCCTTAGACAAAAGCCATTCTAAAGATAAAACTAAGGTAAAATTACGATTGAAATGTTGAGTTCAGGGGCGCCTGGGTGGCTCAGTGGGTTAAAGCCTCTGCCTTCAACTCAGGTTGTCATCCCAGGGTCCTGGGATCGAGCCCCACATCGGGCTCTCTGCTCGGCAGGGAGCCTGCTTCCTCCTCTTTCTCTCTCTGCCTGCTTCTCTGCCTACTTGTGATCTCTGTCTGTCAAATAAATAAATAAAATCTTTAAAAAAAAAAGAAAGAAATGTTGAGTTTCAAAGTCTACAGTGTAATTTATCACCAGCTTAAAAAAAAAAAAAAAATCAGTATAGGTCCCCAGAATTTATCCAGAAATCATTTCTCAGACTTCAGTATTTATATTCATTGGTTGTTCCTCTCCTCTGGGAAGACCTTCAGAATTTCCAAACCTTGCTGAACCAAGCCAGTCTTTTGGAACGTCCTAAAGAGCTGCAAAACTTCATTTCATGCAGTTTTGCAGCAGCTCCATGTATGTTCTCAGTGACAGGAGAAAAAGAACAGAGGTCTCTCTGCTTGACTGATCCTAAATGATCGCCTTTTGCAGATGCTTTTGGTATGGGAACAAAATCAGCCATAATCTTCAGGGTTTTCAATGTCATTTTGAATACATCAGGAAACCAAAAGGCGGAAGAGTCCGTGAAGAAAAAAAAAAATAACATTTAGATGGTTTTGGAAAACAATTAAGTTTGTAATGACGTATTTAGTGTACACCCTGGTTGGGTCCCTCGCGGAGTTTGAATCCCTGAGCTTGAACTGATGTTTAGCAAGCATTTCTTATCCGGGGAAGGCCTCCCCTACTCCCAGCCCACACCCATTTGAGCTTCGCTGGCTCTTTTGAACGGAAGCCATTCTCACTTTTTACTTGGTTCAGTGAACAAGGTTACTGTTTAAAAACAGGGGCTGGGGAGTTGCGGTTCTCACTGCCCTCATGCCCCCGTCCCCCAACCCCGAGTGTACCTCAAGCTGTGTGAGGCCAAATACTTAGGACAATTAAAAGGGCCCTTCACTGATTATTTGGTGTTTGCCTGGCGCAGAAATTCAAAGCAAGAAGGGGGAGTCATGCAGATATGTTGCAGCCTATTCAAGAAAGAAGGATTTTAGGATGGAAGACACTGAGCTGGACTGTAAGTTCTTGGACTCAACATGTATTTTTAAACTCTGAATAAGGAAATTCGGGAATCAGGCAATCTCTAAACCAGTTTTTAATGCTTAAAACAGGCCGAAATACACACCAGAAAATCTTTTAATTCTTTTGTCTTGGGGGAAAAACACCTTACTGGTTTTAATGTTCTTAGTAAAAGGAGTGGAAGTGTAATTAAATGGAATGAGCTCTGTTATGTTCTATAGATGATGGATTTGAGTACTGTCTTCGTTTATCCTGGAGCCATGTGACAGACAGCTGCTGTGAAAATTATAGGCAGACTATCATTATTCTCCGTTTTCCGTGTTGCTACTTTTTTCTCTTTGGGGAAGAACCAAAATGAAGGAGCTAACAACACCTAGGGTCTCCTTCAAGTGCTGGATGTAGGCTGTAGCAAGCTATACATTCATTTGTGCTGCTGTCCAAAGAAAATTTTGGTACATAATTTATTGTTGATTCTTTTAAAATATTTGACACTTTGTTTGTTTGTTTTGTAAATTATCTCTACGCCCAATATGGGGCTCGAACTCACAACCCCAAGATCAAGTCGTACGCTCTACCAGCTGAGCCAGCCAGTTGTCCCTGGTGATTTCTAAGCGCTCTTAATATTTGTATCTGGACCGGATCAGGAGAATTTGGGGAAATGATTGCTTTCTTATTTAGAGGGGTGTATTCGGAAAGTGTTTTTTTCCCTGCTTAAAAAGTCCTACTTCTCTTGCCTGCCTCTTGGTTTCTTAGTTTTTTAATCAAGCAGTGCCTGTATTATCTTAGATTTCTCCTCACCAGAATGCTTTCATTTTCGTGGCATATAAACAGTGAATCACGTGGGCCTTACAGAGAAAAAGCACAGACAATGGAATCTTACATACTGCATTTTGGAGTTATTTTTATCTCCTTATTTTCTTCTCTAGAAATGTCTTTATGTAGCTGTTTTATCCAGTTTAATTCTTAAGAGTAATAAAGATGCCTTATTCAGTAAGTTATTTGTTCTCATAAAATACTATGGCTCTTCATTTTCATAGGTAATATTTGCAAATTTTATAATAAAAACACATCTGATCTAGGAAAGAAATGTTACATATAATGTCAGGACCCAGTAACCATTAGGAGATGGATTGCAGTGTGACTAAATGGTTTGCTTTTGTTATTTTAGGATTATAAAATAATCAGAGGAATAATCAGAGGAATCAGAGTAGCATATTAGACAGGTCTTTGAAACTGGATCTGACTTTTCCTTATAGCTCTATGACGTCAGACAAGTTATTTATAGTCTTTAAGTGTATTGGTATCATTATTATACAATGGGAGTAATCACTAATTTGCAGGATTGCATGTACTTGAAGGAAGTAGTAAAATGCCTTACTTAATGCCCAGTTTTCCAGAAAAAAAAAAAATCAGCGTTATTAATACCTGTATTAACTCATTTTCAGTTCCGTTAACTCGCTTTCAAATTTATTTTGTGCTTAATGACTCTATTTTACGGTGCCCTACCTTTCTGTGTGAAAAGCATATTTACATATAGTACTCAAGTCTTAGGATTAGACACAGTTGCATACCTAATAAGCAGTGGTTTTCATAATGAATTATTTAAATGTGATAGAATAAGATTGCTTCAGTCAAATGAAGTACAGGTTACTCAGTAAGAAAATTGGATCCATGTCTCTGTACACTTTAGGTGTCCTCCCCTCTGCCCATTCATAGAAGCCCATACAGCTGTGGGTGCAGAACCACCGCTGTAATAATGTTTACTCTCTGTTTTCCCACGCTACAATGTATGCTTGATGACAGCAGGGAATTTTGTCTGTATTGTTCACTGCTGTATCCAAGCACCTACGGACAGTGCCTGCCAACCGTTAGGCACCCAGTCAGTTTACAGATTAATGTGTCGGTGCCTAGTCTTCAGTAGGGCCACACCTACTCTTTATAAAACACACAAAATAACAAACGAGGATACAGTTTTATATATAAAATAAAGCGTCTCACTGCATGAGAACCTAATGATTATTTCTGCAGTTGATAAAGCACTAGAGGTTGGTTCCAACTTTTGGAAGAAAAGAAAAAGTCAGCAGGAAATGTTCCTGTCTTCTGTTACAGCTGATTGTGTGCCAAGCAGAACAGAAAGCCAAAAAAGTTTACTTCTTTTGTTAAGAATTGTTAAAGGAAGGACTCTCATGAAATAATTTCAATAATAAAATGCCAGGCCACAGGCCAGATAAGCTCCTTCTTCCTCCAAACCCTGGGGGAGGTCCCTGGTGTGTTCTGCAGGGCAGCCTCTTCCACACACTCAGTGACGATCCACACCACCTGGTAAACTCAGCCTCCTTCACCAGGAGTTTTATGTTGTCCTATTTTTTAAAAGCTAAAAATTATGTTAAGTGGGGCTTTGGAAAAACGCTAGGCATTCTCGAAGTTACGTTGAATCTCTCCTCTCAAGAAGATAAAGTGTTGCACTTGAGGGTCAAAAAACCAGATTTCCACACTAACCTCTAAAACTCCCTGTGCGACCACAAGCAAATCCCATTTAACCTCCCAAGCCTCCCTATCCCCTACCCTAGCAACAGTCATGCCTGCCCTAGTCAACATGGGCAAGTAAGTTTATACCCAAGAAGTGATTTATAATCCATAAAACAAGTTATACAGTGGTACTTAAAGATATACTAAAAAAACAAAGCAGGTTATTTCCTTAAATGAAAAATTTATTTACTTTATGACTGTGTATATAATCTGTACTTGTCAAAGTATCATTACTTAGGGGAGGAAAACCCCATCAAGAGTAAGAAGACCAAAGTACAGTTTTTAATGCCATATATATACATTTTTTTAAATTTAGAAAACACTGTAGCATAGTGGTTAAGATACTAGATTTTAAAGTCAAACTGATGATGATTTTACCCATGGTTTAGCCATATATGTTGGACAAACTTCTTAACTTTTTTGAGATTTGACTTTTGCCTCTGTATAGTGGGGAGCATATTACCTAAATGTAGGCTTACTGTGAGGAATAAATCAAATAGGAGACAAAGTTCTTAAAGCTTCTAGTACAGTCTAGAACATAATATAGATTCAGTAAATGGTGATTGTGTTTGTATAGTTATTATTTTTTAATTCTCTATAAACATGAATATATGACTTGCCTTTTAAATCATATAGTACTAGACTTTTAAAATATATTAGTTAGCCACTATTACTCTGTATAAAAATCTGGTAGAGTCTCTGATTTTACATAACTTTTACTTTTCTGGGTCTAAGGATATTTTGATTAAGTGGTCTTTGAAACAAACATCAATACAATTAAAGTTTCCAAATACTATCATTCACTCACCTGAACCTCCCGAGATCGCAAAGTATGTTAAATGGGGTTTAACTTATCCCTCCATAGCAAAACATGCAGGTGTTCTAAGGGAAGAGCTTGGGCAGGGGTGTTTCAGGGACAGAAGTTAAGAATTCTCTTTCTTGAGAAATGCATGTTGCCAGTGAATCTTGTATGCTGTACAGCCAGAGTTTCTCAAGTTTAAACCTAAGGATATGTTCTAGAAGTGAAATAGCATGGAAGGCCAGGGAAGAATGTAATCAACAAGAAGGGCATCAAGGTAGTAATGCATATTGTCACACAACCTAAAGATGTTAGAGTTCCAGGATGGACCTCGCATAGTCTAAAATGCACATCACAGGGGACCTAGGTGTCTCTGTCATTTGAGCATCCAACTCTTCATTTCGACTTAGGTCATGAGCTCAGGGTTGTAAGATTGAGCCCGGCGTCAGGCTCCACACTCGGGAGAATCTGCATGAGATCCAGTCTTCCTCCCCCCGCCCCCACCTCTTCCCCTACTCTCCCTCTCATTCTCTCTCTAATAAATAAATAAATCTTTAAAAAAATAAATAAAATGCACGTCATATTAAAAGTCACCAGTCCTTTCTTGGAGCATTTCACTGAGTCATTGTCTGGTGAATATTCTTTGAAGTTTTAGTACTGAATTGCAAGCATTTGTATATTGTCTTGACAATCTAATTTACTTTTCTTATCAGAACCTCAAGGTAACATGAAACAGAGAAATTTCAATTAAACTATAAACTAATTTCAAAACTTGGGTCAAATTTTTAACATAGGGGACTCCTCCATTAGAAAAACTTTTTTCTATGAGATCTGTTCTATTTAAAAAGATCATGCCATAATCTATTTCTGGATTATAATCTGTTGGGTTATGTAAATAAATTTTTAGTATCTTATCACAGAATAAAATAATGTTGCTTGAGCAGCAAGTAACATGTGATGAAAGACCAAAAAGGTAAAGTTAATATTTAAACTTTCCATTTACTTAATCTGGTATTAGCAATGCAAAGTTGTTCTGTTTTTCTGTAACACAAGAGTTATAAAGTACTGTCAAAGATTTAACATTTTTATAAAACACTTTATTAAAAATTCTTTGAATATTTGAATATTTGAATTTGAATAAAAATTCTTGGAATATTTTCTGGTAATCAAAATACATAATTTAGATATATAAATATTTAAGTTTAATGTCTTTATAATTAAATACTATCAATACTAGCAAACAGTTAATGGTCAAGGTAAAAAATAAAACAAGTGTGTCAATCAAGAATTTTAGTTAGATTAAAAAAATTATCAAGAACTGAGAGCTGTTTAACCTACGTGAATTCTATCTGTGCATATGTTAGAGTTCTCTTAGTTCTCAAATACATATTTCTTAAGCATTCTTAAGTACATTCTTAAATACTTATGTATTTTTTAAAAAGTATTTTTGCAGGTATATGGTGGGTATTAGGAATAAGATGAGGCCCTTGTACTAAGTAGCTCTCAATTGTTTCCATTTTGGATGGTGTTTTAGATTTCTCATATAAATTATAAGGTCTGTAACCAATTGCAATAGAGTAACTAAAATCCTGCTGTGGGAACCTAAGAAATACACACACCTGAGAATACATGAAATGGAAATGATGTGATTCATCCAGTCTAGGGAAAGG